GCTGACACGTTTCAACGCAGCTTATAACATAAAAAATCATTTTCAATAGATTTTTTATGATTCGAATTTCAGAAAATATCAAAGGGGGAACTGGAAAAGAGCCCAAATTGTTTTCTAATTTATGTCTGATAAAATTTTTTGATCCTCGTTTTTTTTTCGAATTCGTATGCTGAATTGATTACAATTTCCGTTTTTACAAACAGAATGAAACTAAACCAATATCTCTGTTTGAATGATGAATACTTGATAGACAAGCATGAAAACTTATATGGATAGATGGATACAAGGAAAAAAAATTCAAGCTATTTTAAAATTTAATTACATTTTTAAATTTTCAGGGTTATCTATTAAATACTTATCAATCAAACAAGGAAAACGAATCAATAACTTATTGTTTTTTTTTTCACCTTGCTTGAAAAAAAATGAAATTTCAGTAGATTCAGCATGAAATTGTGAAAAATAAAACTACAAAAACAGAGCATCAAAAATTTTCATTTCCAAGCAAGAGCCTTTTCCAAGCAATTTATCATCTGAAGATACATTTTTCTGAGTATCGAAAAAACGCATTTTATGTTTGAAAAGCGCTTTCAAAATTAATGGTTTTTGCGTAACGTGTTTTAATATGTCCTGGGTAGTGTGAACTTTTTTTTTATCAAATCAACCAATCTTTTTAATCTTTTTCATCTTTTATCATATCAACCAACAATTTCGTTTTCATAAAAGTATAATTGCTGTTTTTAAAATTGTTTAATGGTGAGATCTTGATCGCGAGTTTAAATATCATTTATAGTTTTTTTTGTCAATTTATCAATTTAGCTTTTATTTATCACGAGTTTTTTTTTTGAAAAAGTACAGATGGTTTAAAACAAAATGTTGATTGTTTTTCATCTAGATTGAATCTTTTTACTTTTCTGCAACAGTCAACCCGGCATTGCTAAAAGTCTGCGCTGATATTCCATCTTTTGAGCTCAATTGGCACTCTTGAATACTTTTTTTGTTACGGAAGTTTTTTAACTCCGCTTTTCTGAATACCTTTTCAAATTTTTTTGTTCAACCGGTTTTTGGTCTCAAATTGTGGCTCTTTTCCAATCACCCACCCCCCCCCCCCCCTCCTCCCTCGAAAAATTTAGAATTAATACTGTTCAAAAATTGTTCACACGACAGTTTGCATGTTAAAAATGCTGTACAAACTTGTTCAGCTGTTCACGCTGACACGTTTTAACGCATCTTATAATATAAAAAATCAATTTCAATAGATTTTTATAACTTGAATTTCAGAAAATATCAAAGGGGGAACTGGAAAAGAGCCCAAATTGTTTTGTGTTTTATGTCTGATAAAATTTTTTGATCCTCGTTTTTTTTTTTCGAATTCGTATGCTGAATTGATTACAATTTCCGTGAAAACTTATATGAAAACTTATATAGATACATGGATACAAGGAAAAAAAATTCAAACTGTTTTAAAAATTAATTACATTTTTAAGTTTTCAGGGTTATCTATTAAATACTTATCAATCAAACGGGAAAACGAATCAAAACTTTGCTAGTAAAAAATGAAATTTCAGTAGATTCAGCTTGAAATTTTGAAGCATAAAATTACAAAAACCGAGCATCAAAAACCGAACAGATTATGTAAAACAAAAAATGAAACAATTATTATAAAAAAATTTGTAAAAGATTTGAATTTTATAGTTGTTGACAAATTTACAGAATCAAGACAAAAATTCTGAAAACTGAGTTTTTAGATTTACAATTTCGATATCTAAAACAAGAAAACATCAACTCAAACATCTACAAAATTGACCGAATCTCAAAGCCATTGTTGATTTCTAAAACTCAGACGCGGTTGCGTTAAAGTTATTTTAAAAAAGAAAAGCATCGCTTCTCAAATTAAAATAAAGCAGATTTAATTGTAAAAAAGTTTCTTTTAACAGAAGTAATTTATTCATAAATATAGTAGTGATGTGATGCATTCAACTTCGATAAAAATAACTCAATCGACTTTACCGCAATCGTGTCTCAAATTTAGGAATCATCATTGACATTGGATTTAATCAGTTTTGAAGATGTTTGAACTGATATTTGCGTGTTTTAGATATTGAAAAAGTAATTCTAAAAGCTTAGAGCTGCTTTTGTTTTGGATCTGAAACCATATCAACGACTACAAAAGCAAAGTTTTTTTAACCAAAACTTTTCAAATAAATATAACAATTTTGTTTTAAATTTTGAAAATTTTTTAATCAAAAGATGATGGACTGATTTTTTCAAGGTTTGTTTAGGTCTTTCTAAGCATGAAAGGATGCGTTATCTGTACGTCTGCGATTAAAGTTAGAATTAGGTTTAGACAATTTTCTAGTTCGAAATGGAAGAGAAAATTAGTATTGAGATATGCAGTAATGTTTTTTCCATAGGTAGGATAAACAAATCAACAATTTGCATTGGTTTAATTTGCATTTAAAAAAAAAAAGTGTTGAAAAAATTTTTTAAAAGTGCATATGAAAACGTGAAAATAGCTTTCAAAAATATAAACTGACATTTTGTTGAAACACATGACTTGAATAGAAAATTTGTAAATATTAGCTTTTTTCAGCTGAGAAACAAAAAGGATCGAATTCTAATTTAAATTTGGTTTAAGTTGGAAAATATATTGTTCTTACTTCCTAATTTTTCCATCTGTTAGATAAAGACAGTTACTAAATTCCCTGAAGACAGTGATTGTTTCCTGAATTCCAATTGGCATCGGTTGTCAAGTTATAAAATGTGTTGAAGCTAATCCGAGCAAATTGAGTTAGACAACATTGATTAAAGCCATATAATAATATACTTCAGATTCTAGCGGTATACTTAGGGTAAAAAGGAGATAACTATTTAAAAACATGTTAAGGCAAAAACGGGTTTTCAATACAGTTTCCGGCGGCAGACCTCATGCTCTCAAATCTCACATATTTTGTTTCTCTGCCAATACAACTCTTTTACTAAAAACACTAAGAACTCAATTTTTAAGTTAATTTCTATTTTTTTTCAATCCTTTATTTTCAATCTCATTAGTATTTTTTTCCAATTCAGTTAGATTTTTTGTTATCTAAAAATAGCTATGAAACCCTAGAATAGCATTGATATGCTCTCTAGTCTCGATCCGTGTGCCTATCCGTATCTTATGAACTTTTAAGTCGAAATATAAAATTTTTTCCTTCCTACAAACGTGAGTTTTTAGATCTGAAATTATATGATTCAGATTTTGATAATAAAAAATAATTGTGTTTTAAAGCAAAAAATTTTGTCCCGACGAACTCACGAATTTACAGGAAGGAATTATGGGGTGAGAAAATTTTTCCAACCAGAAAATGATGCTCAAATGATAGCTGAGAAAAAATCAAATGCGGTAAAAGCTCTATATGTTGCGAGTCGCGATTTGATAGAATATCAATTGTGAAAATTCGATAGAAACCATTTTGAACAAATCTATTTTTCATACAAACTTATTCAAACGAACTAGGGAAATAATGAGTTTGCATCTATAATTACATTATGAGTTTTAGGGCGTTTTAGCTACTATTAACTACTAATAGTGAATTATTATCTAATTGAGACCCTTCGCCTAAAAAATTCAAAACAAAATCTGTTAGAAAACCAAAAAAGTCTGACCATAATTTTATCAATCTACTGTTATCAAAACAAAAATAATCAAATCAGCCGATCAAAATTTTTTCTAAATGTGCAGAGTATATACCCCAGCTAAATTTACATCAATTGAATGAAATATGCATAAATTTTGTAACTATTACATGAATGTTGCATAAGTACTTCATTACGCTTACATATTTTTGGCCTGTTGATACTTCGGTTAGTTCATACTTTTGCTGGTTTATATACCACCGATCAAAAGTTTCTGTGCTCCTTCAATTAATTTTCGGTGATCAAAAGAATAAATTTTAACGAAAAATTTCTATGCATCATTAAAAATATCGAGCTCCTGAAATCAAAATTTTAAAAAATTGCCATTTTGGCCATGCTCTGGATCTATTTATAGGCACATTGAAGATTTTATTCCTAATTTTGAAAGCGTAAAGCGAACTAGTCATGCAAGGCAATTTATTCCCCACAACAAAGTTGTTCTAAATTTAATTGAGGCTAGCTAATTAGTCGTATTAATTTCGCACGACTCATATTTTCACACGTGATCTTTGATATTGGTTAAAACTTATAGTTGTTCAATATTGTTTCCCATAATTTGCTCGATATGGATTAAGGGACAGTCAGAACTTTCAGGGTTTTGCCCTGATATACGAGTAGTCTTGTTCGTTATTAAAATTTAGTTGAAAATTTGTGAAACTCCCAATATGCAGTTTACATTGAAAAAGTGAAGTTAGTGATTAAATTGAAGCTTATTAGTAATAAAAACAAAAATTTGCTAAATTTACCCAAAGTTTCTACTGAAAAAGCTAATTTGAATGATTTTATTTGTACGAAAAACTTACTTCGCTCACGCCAAAATTTTGTGAAAAAATGTGAAGCTTTATCTATCATCCTATTTATGGCACCTAAAGTTTAAAATACCATCCTTAGAATTATCTACCCTGGAGTTTAAATATAACTGGTCAAACGGTTTATGTTGTAAGAATCTGAAGGCTTCATTAAAAAATGTTTAAAATGTTTCTGTATTTAAGTTTTTTTTATGTTTATTTTTTGGATGTTTTTTTTAAAATATTTTTTGTGTTTTTCATACTGTTTTTTCTCTTTTTTTTGGTATTTTGTAACGCTAATTTTTACTTAACCAATGTTGATCTTGATTAAAAAACTGAAAAAAGCAAAAAACAAATTGTTCGAAAATTTAATAATTTATGGCGAAAAATTGGTTACTCCATTTTTTGCGCAAAAATCTGGAATACATTCACATAAAGCGAAAAGCTCAGCGCAAGTAAGCAAGAATATCTATTTTAATTTATCATTATTTTCTTTGTAATTATGAGCCTAAAAGCTTTGTGCGTTGCTTGACTGACCTCTGGTCTGACTTCTGTGTTTAATGGTGAGCTTCACTATGATGACCAGATAACACAACAACATCAGCACAACTGGAACTATGAACTGGATCACCATAGTGTACACATTGTAGATTTTGGCACCTCTGGTCGACAGAGTTCCAAAAGTGACACACTGAGTGAAGTCTGGGATATCTTCTGCTGAAAGAATGTCTTTCTGGGCATCGACTTTTCCAGTCTAAACAACCAGTGAGCGGTGAATAGTGGAGTTTTCAAATTCGAGAAGATCAAATACACGCTGCAAAACGCAACAACCGCTAGTGGAGGTTTTAGAACTCAGGTTGTAGAAGTTAGAACCTAAATCAGCCAAACAAGGTTAGCAATAGGCGGTCTAAAACTATTAGTCAGAATGGTATAAGGGTGAATTTTTGAGCAATCCGTTTGCCTTGCTTAGGATACTTTTTGTTATAAAAAAAATATTTTTCAAAATTTGGCTGTTAGTTTTTTTGCTTTTAGTTTTTTTGCCCCACAGCCAATATAAAGTGTCAGGTGATGTCATTTGATTCTTTTAGTGGAAAACTTAGGCCAATACGGGGGGGGGACTAAATCGAAGAAAAAAAGAAAAAAATTAGATAAAAAATATAATAGAAAAACTTGCATCCAGTTTCAACCCTTAATAATTTTTTATATTATGATTTTAGTACCAGTCTTGCTACAATTGAGAAAAAGTTGATTTTCATCCATTCATAATCGATTATAATCTCTCTTTTTTGAAATCAATTTATTGTAATACATTTTAATCGATTATAATCAATTATTTTTCCATTTATTTGTCGATACAGTTAGGATCGATTATAATCGATTACTTTTATCCAGTTTTCAGTTCATATGTTTTGAAGAAAAATTCATTATAATTGGTTAAATACGATTATAAGCCCTTTTGTTTGCCCATTTTGTCTGCGACCTTCAATCTGAATGACTTTTGTTTATGCATTTCGTATACGTTGGCTTGTGTGAAAAGTGAGAAAATTGTTTTAAAAGTTTCCAGATCCTTTCAAATTTATAGCGGTTTTAATTTTTCATTTCTTCTCTACTAAAGTCGTTTAATGATGCAGATTTAAAATTTTCAAGCTACCAAAAACTGTTTCATAATTTCTTGCGAAGATTTATTTTTCATTTACCGCGGGAACGTTTCCACTAAGTTTAAAAGATGTCTACGAAAATTTTGGTTAGCGGTAAAACATTGTCTTCAGATTGTTTTCTTTTTAAAATATCACAATTATAATCGTGTATATGTTGTTATACACTTTTTTGGGTTATTATAATCATTTATGTTTGTTAAGAAGCCAATATAGTAACCCGTTATATTGGACTACTTACGACTATACTTGGATATCTTAAACTTGTTTTTTTTTCTCGGTTGTTTCGTCAGCTCGTTGTAAAAAAAAACAAATAAAATCGAATTTAATGCGCAATCGGAACATTCAATGTTTTGCTCTGATGTACGAGTAGTCTTGTTTCTAATTAGGATTTTTTCACGTCAAACTGTAAGTGACATAATAGAAAAACTTGAACTTTAGCTAAGAATAGTTGTACGATCCCGTAAATAAGAAATACTTTAAAACCAGAACTGAGCAGGTTTATAGCAGTTCCTAACTTGATGCTGAAGTCGGATCCAGATCGGTTCAAGTCTCGAGACATTATAAGGTGAAAACTGGAACGTAGATAAATGAACAGAAAAAATGAGGTCAGCAAAGCATGTAGTTAGAACTGATCATCCTAGCGTTAGATGTAAGCCAAAAAAAATGTATTCAAATTTCTTTCCGCACTCTACTGAGAATTTCACTTCAAACTGATTTCTTGAATAGCGTTTACTTATTTATTTGGCCAGTACTTGATCTGATTACTAGAGTTTCCAGATAAACTACTCATACTTCATTATTACATCATAGGTGGAACGAACAACAGACTTTGTTTTCAATCATCTAAGAAGAGGAGAGAGAGGGACAGGGCTCTTCTGTTTTAATTTTCCGTACAATATGGTTTACACTTCTAATCAATTTCTAAACATTTCTAGTAATTCCAAATTTTTTTTCAGATTATTTATTTAAATGATGAATCAATTGAAATCAGTTGAATCAACCATCAAATGGGTCAAGAAAAAATGTGCACAGAAAAAAAGTCAGGTAAATCCACTAGTTCAAATAAGAAACCCACTTACCAAAAACTTATACCAAAACCAGAAGCAAGCCGAACTGGGGTGTGGGGTTTGGTGGGGACAACCGCCTTCTTCCCTCAATTCTGGTTACCAAAACTTTCCGAAAGGTTTTCTTTTTAGTTTAAAATTACGACATCCATTTTTGGCAGACCAATTTCAAAACTTTCTAAAGGCACGTAGCTAATTGGTTGTCTTTTAGAAACGCCTTTTATTGTCTGTATTTTTCGAACTTTTGCCTGCGGCACATTATTTTTGAGAGCTCGGAAAATCAAGTTGTCCATATGAAAAAATGCTGACAAAAATTTTACATTTTTTCAGCAAACAACCCTCCTCCGTAGCCTAATTTAATCTGACAAAAATTTAACCCGAATCCTAAAAATCAAACCAAAATCAAATAAAAAGCCCATTTCATTCCAAAATGTTGTTAAAGAAAGGTAGGAACAATCAGGGCTTTGCCCTGACCCATGCAGTTTTTTTTCTTGTCGGAAGCCTTCAAAAACTAAATGATTAATGTTGTTCAGACTTAGCATTGTTTCCAAAGCAATCCAAAGAAGCGTTCGCAAATTAATTCTTTAATATGATGAAGAAAACATTCAAAATTCATCAATTTAACAAAAACCTTTTGATATCTTGTTCAGTTTGGAGTAATCTTGTGAAAAAAATTGTCCTGTTTTTCAATTCTTGTTAAATTAAAAAAAAAAGGAAATCTAGATTAGAAGAAAAGACGTCGGTTAAGCTAGCTAAGCTAGATAAAAGTTAGAACCGGTTAAGAAGTTGAGTTAAGAATTGGTTTTAAAAAACGTACACTGACTAAAGATCAGTTGTACCAAAAGCCGATGTTCTTTTGGCAGGTATAAATGTAATTCGAAATAAGTACGTAAACATCATAGAGGTTAAAACATCGCCTTAGACATTCTTCTCGAAAAATTGTTACAAGGTAGCATTTAGTACAAAGAACTTATCATTTACCTTTCACCCAAGGATGGTGCCCGAAGAGCGGAATAATGAGACGGCACAGAAAATTAAGTTTACCCCCGAAGATGACGCCCGATGGGCAAAATAAGCACTTGATAACATAAAGGTCCATGAAAACGGGTATCAGGCTGAATGGTTACGTGAACTTCCTAAAAGGATTAAAGTAGCTGTAAGCACCAATCATTGCGATTAATCTTAAAACTAAATAAACAAAGTTAAGCATCAAAATACAAACACAGGTGTTTTAATTCCGGTTACAAAACAGAATTCAAAATTGAATATTGAAAAAAGGACTGTTTTTACGAAATAGAGCGAGTTATTTTGCTGAATGTAAAATTTTTTTTATCACTAGGAAATTAGGCGGCGTCTCGGTTCATAGCTCTAATTTTTGTCCGTTTCTTGAGCTCTTCAAATGTCACGGGGCGGCTTAGCAGGTCCATAGCCTCGATAATCTTCTGGAACTATCTGGGGTCGAGTGCCAGAGTGGAAAGGAACTTGGGGTATTTAGGTCCACGGCGGTGACTGGCGGGTTTTCTATTTCGTAGTAAATACCTCAAATCATGAGGTGGGAAAAGGTTCTGTGGGCACGTTGAGAAATATTTGCCCGGTCTGTCACCGGAAGCTTCTACGAGGCTCGTGAACACCCGTTCTCCTAATAGAGTTGGAGGTTGTGTAGTTCGAATAGGCCTAGTATTATGTCTGACATGAGGGTAGGACAATTCTCATGGAGGTGGCTACTTCATGGGCGAGGATGCTTTCCTATTGCCAATTCCGGTGGGTTTTGTCTTCGAAGAACCCTGGAACATGATAAATAGGGCCTTTTCTCTGGTTATCGGGGTCCGTACCAACTGGGTTCGTGATTGCCTTCATATTCGGGATTGCTATCAGAGTTTGGAGTTGAGTCCTATCGCACTCGTTTCAAGCTTCTGATTGGCTTTTCTCCATTTGTTATTGACCATCAAGTTGAATGATTGGTGGTACTGTGGTTTGGTTGGATTTGGAAATGCTTGATGTCGGTATGACTAAGTATTGAGCTGGGTCCTGATTTTTTCCTATACCTGATTCATCTTTCCGTGGGACTTCATTTTTATTATTCGCTGGACATTGGGATGTACTATCTTGTCTAGTTTTCTGGTTGATTTCAGTGAACGGCTTGAGGTCTTTCAAAAGAATGAGGTCGCTAGCATCGTCAACGGCTATAGTTTTCATAGAGATATTCGAGGGTGTTATTTCTAATTTGTCTAGCGTTTGTGGTCGGCTGGGTTGGTCCCTTATCTATGCATAATAACGTTTTGTTCCAATACAATATTTTTTAAAGATGGACGTTTTACGAGATTGTGCAAATTGGTGTTTGGTGAAACGTACTGCGAAAGGAGAGCAATTTATTGATTCTTGAGTTACAGTCCTTAAAAATTTTATGATTTTCAGAAGCGCTATTTCTGGAAAGAGTTTTAGTGTTTCTTTTGTCGTCTTTTTTAATTTGTCTAATCACTCTTTTAACCAGACATGTAGCTCTATGGTCACCTACTAGGTTAAATTTAAAGTTTATGTTTCGTTCTTGACAAAATTTTTGGACTTCTTTAAAAATAAATTCCGACCCTTGGTCTGTTTTAACAGTTCTAGGTAATCCATGAAGGGTTATGTATTTTCTAAGAAAGTTTATGACGGATTTTGAGGATGTACCAGATGTAATTTGCGCTGAGGGGAATTTTGAGAATCGGTTTAGGCACACAAGTTTCTTTGTTCCCCAAGATATAGGTAGCGGGCCACAGGCAAAATTTAGCTTCTTTTCCTGATTTGGTTCAACGACCGATGAGAGCTTTCCGAGGTCTCAATGTTTCGTTAGATGTTTCAAATTCTTACCTGCTTTAACACACTCGATACTTTTTTCTCCGTGGACTTAGATTTCGCGGCAGATTTTTAGCCACCAGATGTAGAATGTTGCCAAGCTCTTCATTGCAAATTGGCCCGGGTGTGCTTCATGGAGTCTACGTAGCTTACTGGTCCTCAAACATGCCTGTATCACGAGTCTTCCATCGAAGTAG